GACTCCGTTTGGACGAGTGGTGACCGCCAAMAGACAGGAAAAGAGGGGAAAAATTAAGAGGAATTAGTGATTTTCTTTGTATTTTTATAAAAATAAAAGGGAAACAGAAGTCGGCAAAAGTGATCCGTTGGAACCCGACTTTTAACTGACTACAAACCGACGGAAAATTTTCTGCCTCGAGAAGTCGGAAGTGGTGGCGTGCGGTCGCGTGCAAAACCCCAAAACCCTAATTGGGGGAAACCCTAATTAGGGTAAACCCTAAACCTAAGTTAGGGAAAGGCGGTGCTTAGCCGGGCGGATATAAGTCTTCCTATCCGACCGGTGATGAGAAAATTTTGTATAAATCTAGTTGACCAAATTGAAATTAATCAATATTGGGAATTTTGTTTTATTAAATAATTTAAGTTGTAAGTTTGTGTTAAGTAATAATTTGTCATTTAAAATCAATTTAAAATCAAAATAATTACCTAAAATTCTACAAGAAAGGGGAGTCGACTTTATTTCGACTTTGTGATTCGGGTGATACTTTGCTTAACCCCAACCCAACGGGGGGAAGCCAAGTGCTGCCGAAATTACTCGGCAATTTGCTGAATTTTATTCAATTAAATCTTAAATAATTAAAGAAAATACTAAAAGATTAGCTAAAAATTTCTTGTTAAACATCTTTCGTCCGCATTTTTGAGGTCTTCGGCCAAACCCTACCCCAACGGGGGAGGGAGCCAAAATGTAGCCGAAACTTCGCAAAATTGCCTAATTTAAATTATTAATACCTTTATATATATATATATATATATTGAAAGCGATTAGGGAAATTAATTAAAAATACGTTAAAATTTTGTTTCCTTAAGCGATTTTCCCCTTGTTTCATTTGGCTTTAGTTCTAGGTAGGTAGCCTTTATCTAGGGACAATAGTCCCGAACCCCATCCCAACGGGGGGAGGCGAAACGATGCCGAAATTTTAGTAAAATCCCCAAAATTTTATTTCTACCCCTAAAAAAACGTCAAACTCGGCGGGCTTATACAAGTATTAATCCTTAATATATATAAACTAAGAAAGAAAATTTGTCTTAGGTAAATA